CTTGACCCATTTGGTATCAAGTCTGGTGCTACTTTAATAAGATCTTCATCTATTTGGTAGTTGACCTAGGTTTTATATTCCATGAATAATGTATAGAGTATGTGCTTTTGATTTTCAGGCAAAAATAAAATAAAATAAAATAAAATAATAATAATAAAAAACTTATTTGAGTTTACCAAATTATTTCAGTGTTTGTTAGATGAAAATGATCAAATAATGGATCCATATTTAAATGACCTTAACACATAATAGATCACGAGGTTTTTTTTACTCAAACCCAACTACTTAAGGATTGGATTACGTCAATCTAATGAACCATTTAGTTTGTGATTCATAGGATTGCAAAATAGGTTCCGTAGTTTTCTAATTTTTTTTGGGTTTGGCTTATGTTGGGAGAGATGAGATTAAATAAGGAAGCAAATTCGAGAAATGCATAGAAAAATTTTGAACATAAGCGCACAAAACAAGAAAACCACAAACACTAGATTCAATGCAGATAAACCCAAGAACAGAAAAAAGCACGGAGTCACACCACCAAGAAATTCATTATGAATAAAATGAGAATCGTATAACTTACACCACACTTAAGCCTCCCAACATTTTTGGAACTCATGAACACTCATTTTCTCTTTTGCACGAGAAAAATCAAAATTTATATACTTCCAATCGGCGAAACCAACTTTAGGTTGAGAACTGCTCAAAATTGGTTACTAGCATTTGGGCGCCGTGATTGTAAAGTTGTGGCACTCTCATGAGCGTTGACTTCAGGTGTTGAAGTGTCGTGCTCTTGGGTTCTGAACTTCGATTGGGCGTTGCGATGTTGTTGTCTCGGGGCTGGGGCGCTGCATCTGGGCTTTGTGCACTAAATATAGAAAAAAAAATTTGAGGGCGACGCCTCTAAACTCAATATAGGGGCACACCCCACTACCCCACTGGTAAACTCACCATCATGCTTGATCGGCGAAATTGAGGGCTCTGGATGAACAATTGATTAAGGATCTACATAATAGCAGCCTAGACAAATTTAGTCTGTATATTGTGCTTGACCAAGGTGAGGAGGAAATGAGTGTTAAAAGCCTAGAAAACACAGCAAAGTACATAAATTTTTTACCATAAAGTGTTACATATACCAGTATGACGATCATGTGATGAGTAGCTCCCCTGATAAAACCTTTTTGGTATCTCTCCTAACGGCGGTTATCTTCCTTCTAAACATGGAATCTACCTACAATGGCCCTCTTGTACCACATGTAAATCCTTTACGTCATTATTAACCACTATTTGCTCTTCATCATCTTCGATTAAGGATTGTTCAAACAACTGGAAATGTTATACATTGATTATAAGAGTGTGATTGCATGTTTCTATTAAGATCTATTATGTACACATTTTCTTCAAATTTTTAAAACAAATTGAATTGTCCATATTTGATGGCTTAAGATTTTTTAAAAATTCTTTTCAGTTGTTCTTTACCCCGATGAAGCCACACAAAGCCTCCATTTTGTAATGAAACTTGAAACCTGTGCTTGTCATGATGAGCTTTGCACTACTCCTGTATCTCTGCTGATTCAGTTCCATCTCATGATGGATAATTTTTAAGCTCTACAAGAACTTATACACTTTCTTCACTTACGCTTCGCTACTTTCTTCATTCAGATTGACAAAAAACTGGAGTTTAAATGGACTTGGAGATGAGAAAAACCCAAGCCAAACTCAAATAGGGTCCCTTTGATCAAGTTCCATGTGTTAAATACTCGATAATAGTTTAGGTTGTTTTTTTTTCTTTTTTTCCTTCAAATCATTGGGTTACAAAATCACTGAAGAAATGGTTGTTATATATGCTAAAGATGTTAAGTTTTGTTATGCTAAAGCTGTTATGACCATTGCTAAATATTGCCGTAGCTGTTTCTCTAAGTATTTATGTATAGTATTTATTTGAATAAACAGGTTTAGTAAGTGGTAATATGGTATGCAGATTATTTTTTAATTATTATTTTGACCAATAATTTCCTTTCCGTTAAACTTCCGCGAGAAATTGTTGGTTTTTTTCTCCTTGTCAAGAATTTTCTAGATTTGCCTTTATTTTGTTTTCCTAGTACACCTCAATAAATAAAATATGCCTAAATGTGTCCTCTATTTTATTTTTGTATGCTAACTCATGCTATATTTGTTCTCAGTTTTATCCTATAACTAGACAAATGCCTTTGCTTGCAAGAGGATGACGAAATCTAATGTTTTAATATTAAAATATGATTGTAGCAGCCTCTTGATTTAAATTTTTTGCCATTTTAGATTAAAAATAGCATGTAAGAGATTGGAGTAGTAACTCAAACTCAAAGTCATAAACAACAAATTGCAATTCCTCCATCAAATGCACAGCTTTTTTTTTTTTGTTTTTTTTATACCTAGCATGATTTGGGCCTTCACCTCCCGAAGGAGGAGCAGCTTGGATATTCTAATGTACTCTAGTGTCATAGTTTTTATTCCCATGCCACCACCCCTTACTTATTTACTTAGTCTGCGATAAAATAGAATGAAAAGATGGGGCCTTGCAGAAGGAATCTAATTGAACGGTGATGAATTAATTACCTTGCGTTCTTTGAAGAGACAGAAGTAGTCCCAGTTGAGGGCGGTTCTATATAAATAGAGAAGCATTGAACTACTTAGGTGGATGGCTTGCACAACCATTCAGATCATCACTTTTGTTCTCATTCCTCCCTATTAGTGTTCTAATTCCTAACTTGTAAGGAAGTCATTTTAGATTTTTTGAATGCATTTGAAACAATTTTGTTACATTATAAAATATCAATGTTGTTGATGCGGGCGCTAAAAGCTCAGAATCAAGGCGCTTTGAACCCGTGCTTGCTAGAACCCCCATGAATCATCGTGAAGGGGGAGGCGCAAAACCTCGTGAAGCGGGAGCCGCGAACCATTGCAAACCAGCGCGAGGACGAGCAGGGATTGCAAAGGCGGAAGCATCACGGGAAATCACGTTCGAGCGGACTGCCGCCCTTCGTTTGGTGACCTTCTTCATATAGGAAAATATAGTAGATATTTTATGGATTCTTCTTGCCTCCCCACCTCTTTCTTTTGTGTAGAAGTTTCTTTTGTCCAATGAGAGTCTATAAATTGCTATCCTTTGTGTGTGGGAGTCAGTTCTTGCTGTGTTTGTTTTCAGATCTCCTATGTAGAGTTCTTTTTGGTGTTCTAGGGTGGCATCTGAGGAGGTGGTGGTGCTCCGGCTGTATCCTACTCTGAGGTGGTGTTGTATCATTTCCCTTTCACCTTCTCCGATCCATCCCCTCCCCTCTCCTCAATTGTCGGCCTCCTCCTTTATTCTTACACTGAAGTTTTACCTTGTTATCTTGCCATCCTCCCTCCTACCCAACACTCCCAACCGACTGTTCCTCACCAGACTCCCGCTGCCCTTGCTGTCCAGCACCTTCCAGCCACCCCTCCGCCTGCCATCGACCGCCTATGATCCTCCTTATTTGTTGTCCCTACAATTCTGCGCCTGCCCTGTCGCTGCCACCGACATTCTTTGGCTGCCACCACCTCTACTAGCCATCCCGACCCACCTCGTCGGCCTGCACCACACTTGGGATGCATTTGAGAGTGTTTCTTGTGTCGTTTTATATTTTGGTGTTGTTATTTTTCGTTTCTGTCGTGTTGTAAACCTATTTCAATATTAATGAAAGTTTATTTTTATGTTTTCACAGTTTTTCCTACTAATTCCGGTATCATTTGGTATCAGAGCTAGTCCGTCCACCTCCTAGTTCCATCATAGGGTTTCCTTGTATCCGCCCCTACCCAAGTCACCTCCACCAAATTTTTTTCTTATGATTTTTAACCCTAGCCATGCCACCGTGAAGAGATATATCAGATTCGACCCAGGAAGAGATTCGACCTGAAAATTTGTCGTATGCAGTAGAGACTAGCAGAGCTGAATGACGGAGCCAGGAAGAGGTTATCTTCGACCATGATCGAGAAAGTCTATGGGAAGATAGACACGAAGATCTGAATATGTTCCATAGGGAAGATCAAAATGACGAGGAATATTGGTTTTGGTATCTAATATCAAAGGAGGCCGAGAGAAGAGACCTCTTATGGAGGTTAGCGAGACTTTGGCATTAAGATGGACCTCCCATAATTTGAGGGAGGTATGGATCCCAATGAGTTTATCGACTGACTGCAATTAGTCAAATATTTTTTTGAATATAAAGATGTACCAGAGGGAAAACTAATCAAGCTAGCTGCCATTAAACTAATGAAGAATGTCTTCTTATGGTGGGAAAATCTACTTCTCCCCTGGCCCTTCTCCTACCTCTCCCCTAGCCGCCAACCACCCCCATATCCCTTCACCAGTCTGCCACCACCTCTACTTCCTCCACAATATTGCTATCCAACTTACCTACATCCAACCAAAACACCATCCCAAACTACTCGAACAACCATCCGACCTTTTCCGATCTCTCCCTATCACCTCGCCGATACTATCACTGCCTTCGGATCTCTTCATACAATACTAACCATAGATTCTTCTATCATTGTGTTATCTTTTTTATTTGAGTCGTGTTGTTAACCCAATTTCTATATTAATAAAAGTTTTCTTTTGTATTTCCACTGTTTTTCCTACTGGTTCCGGTATCAGTTGTTGGCAACATTTTCTTACTTCTGGAATTTTTGGTATGAAGGTTATATTATAAATGAATTTCAATCAGTGTGTTTAACCCTTTACGTGTCTTGTGGTGTTCATGATTTATTTTACCAGCCATATATCTTTATTTTTGGCATTGCTATTGGAATGATGTTGTGTATGGAATGGACTTCTTATGAGCTCATTATTAATAGAAGATGCCAAGTGCCAAGTCTCATCATCATCAAAAATTGATTTAAATATATAATAGCTTGTTGCTCTGCTATTCTCTAATTGAATTTTTTTTTTCTTTAGTGGCTGTTGTGATACTGATATCATCCAGCCTTGATTTGATGATTGACAGAAAGGGCGGTGGAAAGATTAGCGCTTCTGGAGGTGATGGTTTGGCTGGGGGTGGAGGAGGGCGTGTGTCTGTTGATATTTTCAGCAGGCATGATGAGCCTGAAATTTTTGTTCATGGTGAGAAATCTTTTCTGCTTGCATTTTATATCATATAAACTTATCTGTAATTGTGTTTGCTATATCAGTTATCATCATGGAATAATTTTGTTGCGTTGGTGATGATTAATATCTCTGTAAGATGCTCTTTTTTAAGTGTTTTTGAAAGTGGATGCATCACATGTTTGTTATTTGAATATTATTTTCTTTAAAGTGTTAAATTTCTGGATTAAAATGCAGAAAAGAAATGTTTTTATCTTCAATTCTTGTTCTTACTCTCTTTTTTCGCACAATTGTCTACTATCTGTTATACATGTTCCTTGATGGTAATCAAATGCAAACCATTTCCTTCTCCATTATATTCCTACTTCCATAAACTTAAAGAAAATGAACATAAACAATCAAAGAAAAACAAACAAAAGAACCAAACGTTCTCAGGTGTTTTATTCTGGCATCTATTGCCTTCATCTATTTTTTTATTTATTTACTTATCCCTATGTGCATATGCATCTCGATTTTTTTATTTCAATCTGAGTGGTTTATTACGTGTGACAGCTCCTTTGAGTAAAACATAGCCTTGTCGTATATTTTTGCTCAAACTTTCTTGTTGATTGCCGAGCTTTTAAAGCTAGAAGGGCCTCAAGTTTATTTTGAGGTTTAATTTTAATTCTTTATTTTTGTTATTCATGACATGAATCCTTTTGATCATTGTGTAAGTGCTAGGGCGTCCCCTGGAAGTGACGCTCTATATAGCCTGAATACAATGAAAAGTGTGCAAGGGCCGCTACACCGACGTCCAGGTGTAGTCAAACAAATAAGAGTTCTCACATTACGGACGAATGCGGGTAAAGAAATTAGTCCATTAAACTAATGACTAATATTAGGATATGATCTTGGAATATAGGTACTCTCAATGGTAAATTAATGAAATTATTAATGAAATTAGGTAAATTAATGAAATTAGTTTATATTATGATTCATAGAAAAATTAATATCTTATGTATTCAAGAAACTAAATAAGTTGGTGAAAAGGTTAAGGAAATTGATAATTTAGGTTTTAAACTTTGGTATTCTGGTAAGAGTCGCACTAGAAATGGTGTAGGTGTAATTATAGATAAGAGTTTGAAAGATAATGTTGTAAAAATTAATAGAGTTGGTGATAGAATTATAGCCCTTAAGATTATCATTGATACTAAGATTTTTAATATTATAAGTGTTTATGCTCCTCAAGTAGGTTTAGATTTAGAGTCTAAAGATAAATTTTGGAATGACTTAGAAGACTTAATACAAATGATACCTCTTGAAGAAAGAATTTTTATTGGAGGAGATTTAAATGGACATGTCGGTAGAGTGGTAGAAGATTTCAGAAATATTCATGGTGGCTACGGTTTTGGAGTAACTAATGAAGAAGGTAGAGCTATTTTAGATTTTGCTTTAACGTATGATTTTGTTATTACTAATACTTTATTCAAGAAAAAAGATGAGTATCTTATTACTTATAAGAGTGGGTCTAATAAAACACAAATTGTCTATTTTCTTATGAGAAGAAGAGATCGTCGAGATTGTAAAGATTGTAAGATCATTCCAAGTGAGAATTTAAGTACCCAACATCCTTTATTAGTTTTAAATTTTAAGATGAAGAGTTGTAAAATAAAGAATACTAGGACTCATCATCATAGAATTAGATGGGGGAACCTAAAAGACACAAATAAAATTATTTTTATGAGTAAAATTAAAGATTTCAAAATTTGGGATGTTCATGAAGAAACAAATGTTATGTGGGATAAAGTAACAAACACTATTAAACAAGTAGCAAATTATGTGTTTGTAGAATCAAAATAAAAAGTTTTTATAAATAAAAATAGTTGGTGGTGGAATAATAATGTGCAAGAAAAGATAAATATAAGAAGTTATGTTATATAAATTGGTTTAAATGTAAAAGCTTAGAGAACTGTGAAAAATATCAAACGACCCGTAGGGAGTCTAAAAGAACAATCTGTGACGCTAAAAATTCTGAAAACTTCTTTAGTAGCCTAGGTCTAGCCATAGGACTTTCCTATTGACTAGTCTTAGAAAATTAGAAACCAAACAAAGAGAAAATAAAAACAAAACTTTAACTCAAGCAAAGTGTATTAAAGATGAAAATCAAAAAGTACTTTTCTTAGAAAAAGATATTCAACACAGATATTCAACACAGAAAAAGATATTCAACACAGGTGGGTGAGTTATTTTGATAAACTTTTTAACGAAGTTTCTGAAAATATGATCGACCTTAGTGATCTTAATATCGTGGATTATAAATAAACATTTCATTTTTACCGTGACATTAGTAAAAAAGAAGTTGAAGAGGCTTTAAGGAAAACCAAGAGTGGAAAGGCTGTAAAACCTGATAATATCCCAATTGAAGTAAGGAGATTTGGGAGTTTCTTGGCTTACTAAACTCTTTAATATTATTTTAAAAACTAAAAAGATGTCTAAGGAGTGGAGGAAGAGTAAAGGAGATGCACAAGAGAGTGCAAATTATAGAGGAATTATGTTGATGTGTCATACTTTAAAGTTATGGGAGAGGGTAATTGAACATAGGTTAAGATGCATTGCAAAGATTTCTCATAATCAATTTGGATTTATGCCGGGCAAATCTACTATGGAAGCTATACTTTTATTGAGAGGTTTGATGGAGAAGTTCAGAGATGATTAGGAGAATCCACATTTGATTTTTATTGATCTTTTAATCTACATTTGATTTTTATTGATTTAGAAAAAGCTTACGATAAGGTTCCAAGAGATATCCTTTGGAGAGTTCTAGAGAAGAAAGGTGTTGATATGACTTATATTCAAATCATTAAAGATATGTATATTAGAGCTGTTAGATTGACCAAATATTTTCCTATTTCAATTGGATTACATCAGGGATCGACATCAGGGATCGACTTTAAGCCCTTTTAAGCCCTTATCTTTTTGCGTTAGTTATGGATGGTCTTACTGGACATCTACAGGAGGATGTACCTTGGTGTTTGCTTTTTGCTAATGATACCCTGCTCGTGGATAAATCTCCTGGCTAAGATTGTGGAGAAAGAGTTTAGAAAAAACTTGAATTATGGAGGTCTACATTGAAGTCTAAAGGCATCTCCATTGGAGTCTAAAGGCCTTCGTTTAAGTAGAACTAAAACTGAATAATTTTAGTAGTAGTTTAGTAGTAGTAGTTCTAGTGATAGAAGTGTGACTTTGGGTGATCAAATTATTAAAAGGTGTGAACAATTTAGATATCTTGGGTCCGTTGTTCATAGCGATGGTGATATGGATGGGGATGTTAATAATAGAATTTAGGTTGGTTGGTTGAAGTGGAGGAATGCTTTGGGCCGTTTGTGTGATAGAGAAGTACTGCTTAGACTGAAAGGAAAATTTTATAAGATAGTGGTTAAGATGGAAAATTTTATAAGATAGTGGTGAGACCTGCAATGCTCTATGACACTGAATGTTGGCCTTTAAAAGAGAAGCATAATAATAAGTTAAGTGTTGCTGAGATGGAATGATTAGGTGGATGAGTGACTTTACACTTAGAGACAAAATGCGAAATGAATATCTTCATGATAGGGTTGGTGTAGCTCCTGCAACGGACAAAATTTGAGAAAGTTGTCTTAGATGGTTTGTCACATTACACGTCGACCATCTGATGATCCGATTAGGAGAGTAGATGTTTTATATTCGACTCGTGTTAAGAAAGACAGGTAGACCTAGGAAGAATTGAGCTTATTGTTTAAAAAATGATCTTAATTGACTAGAATTAAATGAAAATATGACACTAAATAGGACGCAATGGAGAAAATGGATTCATGTAGCCGACCCCACGTAGTGGGATTAAGGCTTTGTTGTTGTTGTTGTTGTTGTTGTTTCTGTTGCTGTATGGTGGTCATATTATATTTAAATAAATTCACTATATTCAGATATTAATTTAAATGTGATTTTCTCAATTTCTTAAATTTATTGAACTCAATATACTTAATATCTTCGACTAGGAGTTGGGAAGTTTAAATGCTTAGAGGCTGAAGGTCAAAAGTTTCATTTTTATTCAAAACTTTTATTTAAGCGATGTTTACGCACGTGCTGTTCCCTTCTATAATAAATTATGATGTTAAACCTCCCAATTGGGGAGATGATAAGCCAGTTTCAATTCCAACTGCAATGGAAGCCACGACTTAGGTGAGGGACTTTAATGATCAACCCTATGTCCTGTTCAAGTAAGTATATCATTAAGTATTATTATCTAATGCCCATACTTTTTTCATTTAAAACTACTTGTTTTTATAATGCCGACAATTGCCCGCTGAAGAAAGAGAATCCTAATTCATTGAGTAGAGAGGAGAAATAGAGAGGGAGAGTAAACCCTTTTATTAATTGCTTCAATATTCATTAGAATATCCTTCAGCATACAAGCATTCTTTTTTTAAAAGAAGGTTTAAGCATCAAAAGGAAAGTACGAGAAAATAGACTATAGTCGGATGAAAATTATAGCAATCAAATTGAGATTTTGCATAACAGTTATCATTATAGCTTTTGAAAGAATTTCTTAAAATATTGTATCCTTTTTATTTCAGAATAAAATAAAAGTAGGTAGTATTTTTCAGGCTGTTTTGATTTTATGTTTAATAGCGATGATTAGTATAATATGCTGATTTTGCACTCATCATCTCACTGGATAAGATCTCTTCATTGGAGAGTGCTGGATAAGTTACTTCTATAAAGTAGAGGCTACATGGCGCAGTTCTTCAAGTTATCATTAATCTACGGGAGGCTTTGCCAATGACCGTTAAGTGTAAATTGATTTTTTAAAGGATGATATACCCACCCACAGTACCTGTGGGCGATGGATGTAAGAGCAATGTTTGATAAAATAGTCTTTAAATTGGGGGTGAATGATATCTGTTCTCAAATTTGTGGGGTTGTTTTGGAAGTTTAAGATATCTATTCTCCAATATGTAGGGTAGTTTTGTAAGTTTTGTGGGGCTATTTAACATAAATGG